GAGTGGGGGAAGGAGAGGAGGGAGGAAGAAGGAAGGGAAACAGGGATATGGAGACGGGGGAACGGGGAGAAGGAAAGAACACGAGAAGCGGAAGGAGACACAAACAAACCCTACATACTTCCACATACGACCAGAGCTTCCCATAATCCACGTTAACAATCTCGGGCATCATACATCATAAAGCCTCTACCCTCCTCTCTAAAGGGGCCCAGGGAGCCACAACTAACATGAACCTGGCGAAGGACCCAACCATATGCAGTTGTGTGGCATCGTCTTCGGCGCAGCTCCCTAGGCCACGAACTGTGTGATGGGTCTGCCAATGGGGGGGATGCCAGCGCTGCCACTGAGACCTTAGGTGGAGCTCCCTATGGGGCCACGAAGCATGTGAGGGGTGTGCCAGAATAGGTGGGGTGGACGCGTGCGAATGACACCATTGCGGCCTTAAGTGGAATTCCCCATGGGGCCACGGAACGTGTGAAAGGTGCGCCGAAATTGGCGGGGGGGACGCATGCGAACGGCACCATTACGGTCTTATGTGAAGCCCCCTATGGGGCTACGAAGCCTGTGAGGGATGCGCCGAAATTGGTGGGGAGACGCATGCGAACGTCTCCATTGCGGCCGTAGGCGGAGCTACCTATGGGGCCAGGAAGCGTGTGAGGGGGGGGCGCATGCGAGAGCAACCATTGAGGCCATGGGTAGAGCTCCCTATGGGGCAACGAAGCGGGTGAGGGGTGTGCCGAGATGGGTGTGGAGGGCGCATGCGAACGGCACCATTGCGGCCTTAGGTGGAGCTCCATATGGGGCCACGGAACGAGTGAGGGGTGTGCTCAAATTGGCGGGGGGGACGCATGCGGACTGCACCATTGCGGCCTTAGGTGAAGCTCACAATGGGACTACGAAGCGTGTGAGAGGTTGGCCGAAATGGGAATGGGGGACGCATGCGAACTGCACCATTGCGGTCTTAGGTGGAGCTCCATATGGGGCCACGGAACGAACGAAGGATGTGCCAAGATTGGCGGGGGGGACGCATGCGAACGGCACCATTGCGGCCTTAGGTGGAGCTCCCTATGGGGCTACGAAGCGTGTGAGAGGTTGGCCGGAATGGGTGTGGGGGACGCATGCGAACGGCACCATTGCGGCCGTAGGTGGAGCTCCCTATGGGGCCACGAAGAGTGTGAGGGGGGGGCGCATGCGAGAGGCACCATTGCGGCCATGGGTAGAGCTCCCTATGGGGCAAAGAAGCGGGTTAGGGGTGTGCCGAGACGGGTGTGGAGGGCGCATGCGAACTGCACTATTGCAGCCTTAGGTGGAGCTCCCTATGGGGCTACGAAGCCTGTGAGAGGTGTGCCCAAATGGATGGGGGGACGCATGCGAACAGACCCACTGCTGCCTTAGGTTGAGCTCCCTATGGGGCCACGAAGCATGTGACGGGTGTGTGCTGAAATTGTTGGCGGAACGCATGCGAGCGGCACCACTGCGTCCTGAGGTGGAGCTCTCTATGGGGCTACGAAGCGTGTGAAAGGTTGGCCGAAATTGGTGTGGGGGGGGGGACGCATGCGAACTGCACTATTGCGGCCTTAGGTGGAGCTCCCTATGGGGCTACGAAGCGTGTGAGAGGTGTGCCGAAATGGATGGGGGGACGCATGCGAACAGAACCACTGCTGCCTTAGGTGGAGCTACCTATGGGGCCACGAAGAATGTGAGGGGTGAGCGGCACCATTGCGGCCTTTAGTGGAGCTCTCTATGGGGCCACGAAACGTGTGACGGGTGTGTGCTGACACTGATGAGGGGAGGGAGGAGGGGACGATGAAGGAAGCAAAGAGTGAGTGACGCGGGGCGCTGTCTCTTCAAAACGAGGGCCCAACATCACAGGATGCTTGGGGACTGTGCAACTTCCTGGATCCCTGATATTTATATATTGTGGATGTTTTGAACTCCCCTCCACTTCCCATCTGTTCTCCACTTTCTTGGACATCGATGTTTATGTGCGTCTGTGTCTATTTCCCAATCCTTATTCTCGTCCCCGAAGGGGAGCAGCAGCACGGAGGAGGAGGACGAGGAGAAGGAAGAAGAGGAGGAGGAGGGAAGAAGATCCTCCTTACGCTTCAGGTCCGTGCGCCTCGCAGCTTGCCTGAGAAAACGAGAGGGTCCTCAATCCCTATTGCTGGGGCCATGGGAGAAGAAGGAGGAGAGGCAAGAGGAGGATGAGCACAGATGAGCAGAATAAAGAAGAGCGAGGAACCAAGCGAACTGATGGCCCGAGGGAGGATGTGCCTTGCGAGAGGCGACCAGCCATGGAACCTCAACCCTTCAAATCTCCCGCCGTCCTCCTCCTCCTTCTCCTGACCTCACTCCTCCCTCTCTCTCCTCCCCCTCGTATTCCCTCCTCCTCCCTCTTCCACCCTTCTTCTCATCGTCTCTCATCTCTCTTTCCTCCTCCTCCTCGTCTTCCTCCTCCTACTCCTCCTCCTCCTCCTCCTCCTCCTCCTCCTCTGGCTCATCCTCCCTTCGCCCCCTCGCTCCTCCTGCTCCACCTCTACTCATCCGTTCCCGCGTGCTCCTGATCCACATCCATGTGCAACATTTTATGATTCACCGCCTTGGCTTGAACTCTGTAGCTTTCCTGCTCACAACAACCCGTGCACGGCCTCCCCGAGATTGATCGTTCCTCCTTCTCCTCCTCCTCCTCCTCCTCCTCCTCCTCCTCCTCCTCCTCCTCCTCCATCCCCCCCTTCTGGTCCTCCCAATCTCCCTCAGCCTCCGCCCCCTCATCATCCGTATTGTGTCTCTGGGGCCCCAAGAAGGACAGAGGCCGCTCAACCCAGCGCTTGTGCCGTGCTGGCGTCCAGCGTGCACCGCAAGACCTGCGCTTCGTGCCTGAAGAACACGGCGGATGTTTTCGTTGCGTGTTTCCTCAAAATATTTGGATTGTTAGTTAGGGCCCTGACTGTGCACCAGACTTGCCAAACATTGACTCGAAAGGAATTACTGTTCCAGAGGAAGGAGTCCAACTCATGGGGCTCCACATTGCAAAACATCACGGCCTCGGGGGTTTGGGTCTCCCTATTCACCTCAACCTACCCCCGTCGACGATGATTCGAGCTGGTGTGCCGATGTCCACTGGTGAATTTCGTTTTCGTGTGCAAGCGCGAGCAACAGAATCCCACCGGCCCTTCGGGCGTAGATGGTCGAATAAGGTACTTGTTCTTGTGTTCTAAACCCCATCTCCCCCTTTGGCAGTGGTACCCTCCCTCTTCCCTCCCTCAGGTTTCTTTGGGGGGGGGCGCATTGGGTTAGAGCGTCCAAGATGGCCCAAAATGGCTCCAAGTGGGCGTCCAATGTTCCAAGATGCCCTCCAAGATGGCTCAAGGTAGCCAAAGATGGTTCAACATAGCTTCCGACATGCCTCCAAGAGGCCCCAAGAAGGCCACAAGACGGCTCCATGTGAGCTCGGAGCCCCCTCAAGACATACCCGAGATGCCCAATTATTTCAACAACCTATAGGACATCAGCGAATGCTGCCTTCTTGCCTTTTCCATGTCGATGCGCTTCCGAGGCCTCAAGATGGCCCCAGGATGGCTCATCAGAATCCCAAGAAAGGCCCCAGAGGCCCCCAATCCGCCCCACCTCTCCGTTAAACCCACGTTGAAGCAGGCCTAGAAGAGAAAGGAAGGAGGAGAAGGAAGAGGAGGATGATGAACAGGAGTAGGAAAATGATGATACGTATCAGCAGGAGCACGGCAGGGCAAATGGAACCCGATGTCAGGCGGAGAACGCACGGGCGAGCGCGAATGCGTAATCAAAACTCTGGGACCCCCAAACCTGCAGAAACATCCCGGTTTGGGGGGCGGCACGTATCATAATGGGAATCGAGCTCCTACGGGAATCGAGCTCCTGTTTTCTGTGTGCGCATTTCTGTTCTTCGAGCGGCAGCCGCCCTATTGCTCCAAGGGGCGCAGTCTACTCCAGCGGGTATCGGCGACGCTCTTTGAACTGGCGGTGCGACATGTGGATGCGGTTGATCTCCCCACATCAACCTGCATCAAGTGGCAAGGGGAGTTGGCCAAAACTTGCCAGGACAATTACAGTGCAGGCACCGTCACATGTTGCGCAAGCTATATGGGATGCGACCACGTGGCACGATTCACAGGACAACTGCAGAAAGACGAAGAGAGAGCGCCCAGGCTTGAGGAGGACATGGGACATGGGGGGGGGAACGAAGGGCAAGAAAAGGAAGCGTGGGGGCCGACCCTTCAGCGCGGCAGCAGCAGAGGGAAGGTGGCAGGGAAAAGGGGACGACGACGAAAGTGACGGGAGGAGACCGAAGGGTGCTGCCCTTGTCGGTAGTGCGCTAGAGATGCAGCGCTGCCTGCGCCATGTCGCCGCGGCGCTCGACAAAATGATAAAAGCTGCTTACAATTAGTGCAAGAAACGAGCGAGGCCTAGCTCGCCCGCCAACTTCCCTGCTTCCTTCCCGCACTCTTCAATGCGGGAGCTAAACGCTTGAAGGCGCGCCGCCAGGTCTGCGGGCGGTCCGCGACGGCACCCCGCTGGATCCCCCTGTAGCCCTCGAAAGTGGCGACGGTTTCGCAGATCGCAGCCCCCCAGGGATGGCGATGTCAAATCTAAGTCTGGGTGGTGCCTCACCCCGCTGAACCCCCCAGCAGCCCTCGATTGTGGCGACGGTTTCGCAGATGGCAGCCCCCCAAAGATGGCGAGGTCCAATCTGAGTCTGCGTGGTGCCTTACTCCGCTGAACCCCCCTGTAGCCCTCAAAGTGGCGACCGTTTCGCAGATCGCAGCCCCCCCCCAAGGATGGCGAGGTCTAATCTAAGTCTGCTTGGTGCCTTACTCCGCTGACCCCCCCAGCAGCCCTCAAAAGTGGTGACGGTTTCGGAGATTGCAGCACCCCAAGGATGGCGAGGTCCAATCTGAGTCGGGGTGGTGCTTCACTCCGCTGGTCCCCCCCGTCAGCCCTCGATGGCGATGTCTAATCTTAGT